AATTTTTTGCACATGTCGAGGAGCGTGTCAGGTTACATTTCACTGTGTGTTATACTTGTATAACTATGCATGTGACAAATAAAGAACCTTGAACCTTGAACCTTGACAATGGGAAGCAGAATAGAAAAGGCAGAAAACAAAGGAAATGATCGTTAATACGGAGGAGGAAAACATAATGCAGGTTTAACATTAAAGAGCACATACTCAGCAACACAGACAATGTCTGTCACATACTTACATTTTTTTTGAGACAGAATGAACGTCTGTTATCGTTTGTGCCTCAGGTTAATGATCAGATTTAGCACAGAAACATGTATTTCATGATGTTGATGTCTGTGCCCATGATGTTCCCCGTGTACTCTGCTCTATCATCACTTTCGCTTATTCGCTTGTTTGTCACAAATCAGTGTGCGGTAGAGTAGAAATCAAGCAGCTCTCTTTCCCTTAGCCTAGGCCAGACTTCTGTCACTTGACATCCAGCGATGGCCATGCTGATGAGTCTCTTGAATACAGCTGCTTGTCTCCTGGCAACAGATGCCTCCAACTCCGGCACACTGAGTGCTCACAGCGCCGGCACAACCGGCATGTAACAAACACCAGATATGACAAACAGTGTGCATAAAATCTATAATGAATTAAATCAGCGGTCCCCAACCCCTGGGCCTCGGACTGGTACCGGTCCGTGAGTCGTTTGGTACCGGGCCGCGAGAGTTGAGGCTCAGGTGTGAAATGTATGGTTTTCAGGGTTTTTATCGGTTTTCAGCGTTATTTTGTTATCGTTTTTATCGTTTTTATCGTTTTTATCGTTAACTCGGTTTTCCTGGGTCTTTTCACTTGTGTTATGAATAAATCTTATTTTTTTTCGGTACCAGTACTAGTTTTATTTTGTTGTATTTATCCGCGACACCTTAAAGGCCGGTCCGTGAAAATATTGTCGAGCTTAAACCGGTCCGTGGCGCAAAAAAGGTCGGGGACCGCTGAATTAAATCACACCTCAAAATCTACTGAAGTGGAAAATATGATACAAAAGTATCATTTATGGAAAAAATAGCCTAAAAAATGTAGAAGATATATTTGAGAAGACTTCTTTATCAAATACTGACTGATATTTATTAGAGATGGACCGATCCGATATTACGTATCGGTATCGGTCCGATACTGACCTAAATTACTGGATCGGATATCGGAGAAAAATAAAAAATGTAATCCGATCCATTAAATATCACGAAAGCACCTCACAAAACTTGCAACACGCCGTAACTCACCTCAGAACGTTAGCACGTCGGAGCAGTATGCATCACGTGATAGAGCGGCTGTGGCATGTGGGACCTGTCGGTGGTCTGGATAGCATGTGGAGCTTCGCTAGCAACCCGACATTTCATCTCCGACAAAGTTATCCCGAGAGAAGTAAAGCAAGTGTGTAAGTCCATCTCTAAATGTTTGTAAAGCATTCCTGCGTTAAGCTTAACAAGCGACTGCCTCTTCTTGCTGCTACTTCAGTCATGAAACTGCTTAACGATCAGTTGATCGGCTTTTCTGTCGCGAGTCCGTGTCTCTAGTTTGCTTTTGGCCCACTTTGCACCAGAAAGAGGAAACCAGCGGCTGAACAACAGCAGCACGTTTAAGCTTGATCAGCTGTTGTTAGAATTTATTTAATATTACTTTCTACTCCAGGATCTTTTTCTACGTAGCTGACGCTGGTAACTGTGCAGGGGCGGATCTAGCAAAGTTTAGCCAGGGGGGCCGATAGGGCATTAACAGGGAAAAGGGGGCACAAAGACATACTTTTCTTTCTTATTCTCATTTAAAATGTCTAGCTTTTAATAAATAATTATCTGACACCCAAAGTTTTAATTTGATGTAAAATGAATAGAAGTCAATTACTGTATATAGTGACTATTAAGTCTAATATATATACCCTTGTAAGCTATAGTACTTTTTCCTTTGGGAAGGTACCATCTGTGCAGTCCGCAATTCTGTTGAAGAAAGATGTTGAATCTATTTAATATTTCTTGAAAAATAATTGATTTCTGTGCATTTTTTTTCACACTGCATCAAATTAAGGTTGATTACGTCGATTAAGCATCATGAGGTGGAGTGTGAGGGGTGGTTCCCTATTTTTTATTTATTTATTTTTGTTGTTGCTGGGAGTTGGAACCCTATTAGTTAGGTTGCTTAATATTTACGCTAAGTACTCTTTAAAATACCAGAATAGGGAGGATGGTGTAGGTTTAAGTTTATTAGATTGATCAGTATTGCTGAACTATGAAATATTTTTTTTTGCATACAGGTATAACAGAATAGCTTTAGTGTAGTTGTTGTTTTAAACTTGAGTATGAACTTATACAAAATGCAGCAAGATATTTAAAAAACAGTTTTGTTGATTAAAAAACACTATATCGGATTCATTTCGGTATCGGCAGATATCCAAATTTATGATATCGGTATCGGACATAAAAAAGTGGTATCGTGCCATCTCTAATATTTATGTGTTTCATATGTAAATTCAGAAGTGCATAAACACATGTGTTTCTATGTGAAGGTATATGCACTGGCAAATGCAAAGATACATAGTAGCGATTGCATTCGATGCATGCTAATATGTGCAGAACCTGTGGCTGATAACGCTCCCTGTGTTTACTTACTGAAAATGGGTGACGTGAAGCTCTACAGTTTATGTAGTCTGATGTTCTCCTTCTTGTAAATTACATTTATTTAGCAATTTTTTGTCCCTCTCTAAATTCTGGAAAATCCAAAGAGTACAACACTGAAAAACTGGAGTGACTGAGAATTAATATTGTTGTGGAATGGATTACTGGTCACGCACAGACATGAAGGGATTTACTGGCACCTTAATGAATCTGATGAAACTGTCTAGTAACGCTGATTACCTTAAACGAGTAAAAACTCAGCTGTCTAATGTTGTTCTTACCACACTTGGGAATTAAGACAGAGTCAGTTATGTAACACATTGTACCAAGTTCTATTTTTACGGCAGCATACGGCAGAATGTGCGTTCGTGGTTAGACGTGTCCAAATCAGTAGTGCTGATTTCAAGAACTAAATCTAGGAAGTGAAATCTGTAACACAAGGATGCGAGGGAATGGTGTGCAGACAGGTAAAGGTGAAGTAAATGAAGGGACTTACTTCTTATTCTGATTCTCCTTTCGGTCAGCTGAGCCCAGACTCTGGAAATAATTAAAGAAAAAGAGAGATCAGAAATGCTTTCAAGGATTTCCCATCTTTAAGGATTCAAAGAGTAGTCTCCTGTACATACTGTGAAACAATGGGATGGTTCAGAGGTTCTAAACCTAATAAACTTCATGAAGACTGATTTGTTACATTAGTGGAGGTTTGTCTGCACTGGAGGCATAAAGGGTTACATCAAAAAGGCTCTGTGCACAGTTGGCAACCACCTGCTCAACAGCGGAGACTTTCTGGTAATAGCAGTAATAATACAGTAGGAATTAATAATTAATTAATTAATATTATTAGTTAAAAAAAGCATGAAAATCAACCAAGGCATCAGTTGGTTAGTTATTCCCAATCAAGTCACACGTTGAGCTATCTTTTCTGTTCTCTTAACTGAGTTTCGATTATTAGACTTGAAGTGATCCAACTACCTTCTAGGCAACACCAATCAAATGATCATCAACATCCAGTAAGTGCCAATTACGTCAGTAACGACCTGGCCTCCAATGAAAAACAATAAGCTCTCTGGATAAAATTACAAACACTTATCCCATGGATTTGCTTTATTTGCACGCATTCATCAAACCGTGGCGTCTTCATGCAAGGTGGCGCGCACGGTCGTTTTAAAGGAAGCGAGGGAGAATAAACGTAGAGGGAGCGAGTTTAAAAGCCATTTTCCCGATGATGAAGTCAACTGAGTTTAGAAACTCGAACGGCAAAACAAATACACCCCGCCGGCTTGCCTCAACGGGGGATGTTTGAATGCATCCCTCTGGCAAAGCCACACACAATGACACAAAACACATCTATAGCGGACGTCTATAAACCCTGCTGTCTGCATCCTTCTGAGGTGTATTGCGCTCAAAGGAGATGCATGCTGAGACAGCGCATACACAGAAATACCGGCACACAAACACAAACAACTGGCCTTAAGCTGTAGACAATTTTGGAGTGAAATTCTGTTGCTATTTTGCATATTTACCTTTGGGAAAGATACTAATCTGGACTCTTAAATGTTAAAAGCACTGTGGAGAAAAAAGTGGGGAATCTGAACGCCCTGAGGGAGCCGACCAAACAAATACTGTCAGTCAACACACTTAAACCCACTGCATTTCAATTTGACCCATCTATTCTCTGTGGTATAATCACAGGGGACTACAAGGAAATGTTTCTGTCTTCTAGGAATTAAAAAAAAACCCTCCGATGCTCAATGGATTACAAGACCATGAGCTTTAAAATTGCTCTAATATCCAAGATCCACTTAAAGCTAATGCTAGCAGGTTAATACACTACAACATTAAACATAACAATGGGTACAAGGCTCACTCTAACATTTTCAAGAATACCAAAAGACTGTAAGTGTGCAAGTTCACCTATAGGAAGAACATTTTACTGTGCATCTTGAGACACTTGTCAGTTGTTTATGTTTTGCTTTTAAAGAGCCAGACTTTCTTGCAATTTTTTAAGGTGGTCTTGAGCAACAGTTCTCCAGGCTTTTTGAAGTTTTACCAAAGATTTACTTTGAAATTTGGCTGTTTTTTCACTCATTTTCAGTCTGGTCTTTGTACCTGACCTTTTTCTCAGGACTTATTGTTTGTTAATCCACTCAACACTGACTTATGAATCAACTGGGCATAAAAAAGCACCCAATCAAATGGACAAATAAGTGTTGCGTCTACACATTCGACACATCTTTAGTCGAATCTACATAAACTCAGTAACAGTCTGACATCTACAGCAGATAAACAGTATCTGAAAGTCATGTTATTATAAAATAGGGAATAAAATCCACACAGAAACCTAAGACATCTGGCCCTTCAGTTGAGCCATCTACTATTAGCCAAAGCCTCATCAGAAATAGTAAAGATGGCTGTTAAGAAGACATTCTTAAGGACAGGCTAGAGGGAGAAAAGGCTCACATATTCCAAACAAAAACTCCTCTGAAAATCAGGTCTTATGAAGTGATGAATCCAAATCATATTTTTGGTTTGAATCAGCAATCCACCCTGCAATACAATCTGGAGTGTCTGATTGGCAGCGGCTTCATTTTTCAGCATTACAGTGGTTTCAGACACACTCCTAATGCAACACAAACACCATCAGTCATGGATTAGCCTCCCCAGAGCCCGGACCTCCACATTATTGAAGCAGTGTGAGATCATCTTCACACAGAACAGAACAAAAGGCAGAAACATCCAAAGAAGAGCCTTCAAGAAGCCTGGAGAACTATTCCTGAAGACTACTTAAAGACATTAAAAGAAAGCTAGGAGCATTGAGGCTGTGCCGAAGAATAAAGGTCATTTTACATTTTATCTGAACTGTCTTAAATGCAAACAACACAAACAATCAGTTTGCTCTGTGAAGCTCAAAAAGATGCAAACGTTTGAAAAAAGCATCCCCTTCCTTTTAATCTCAACCTGAACATCACAGAAGTGTTTTTCTCTTTCTTTTTTGGTGTGTGTGTGTGTGTGTGTGTGTGTGTGTGTGTGTGTGTGTGTGTGTGTGTGTGTGTGTGTGTGTGTGCTTTCATGTAAGCAGTGTGAGCTGACATTTTGACCAGCCAGTGACTTTTCTACTCTGGCGCTCAGAGTGTGTGGATATGAGTGTGTGTGCTTTTATGTGCTCACTGCTATGACATTTTGACCAGCCTCTCTGTGCATACATGTTTGCATACAAGTTTCATCCTGATGGAGGGGACAGGATACACCACACAGAGTGATTAACCTTTCACCTGCCAGCTCGCCCACAGTGCCTTCAGGTAGTACCACTCTCCCAAGAGGGACGAGGGCAGGTGGGTGTGCATCATTTGAAAGACAGCTCTGCAGGGGGTGAAGGAGGGCTATTTTAGAACCTTAGAACATTAATGACTCGCAGCTAAATTGTCTGCACACGAATATCACTACAGCATTACACAATATTAGTATTTTACACTCATATTCCTATTTTTAACATTAGATTGCCTCTTTTAAATCTTCAAATCAATTTTCAAGCACACCGAAAGTAAGAGAAGAAGGATCATCCCTCGTATTTGAGCCATTACAGCATCTGTCCCTATTACACTTTTATTGTTTCATCTTGGCTGCTCATTAGTTTTACTTTCAGTACCTGAAATCTAGCATAAGAAAAAAAACCTAACAAATAAAATCAGTCAAACAATCAGTCGCTCAGTCTGCACCTGCTCACCTCTTTCTCCCTGTAGCCACAGAAAGCATCACCAGCAGTCAGCTGAGGTAAAATACAGGATGAGTTATAATCACCACTCCTTTACCAAACCTTCAGCCTACATCAACATGAGCAGCGTGCATCGCACCTGACAACTGCTGACTATTTCTGGAATGTATGGAAAAAATTCATCTGGCTTTTCCTGTCAGCTGTGCATAAAGGTGCTGTAATTACTGATATGAAAGAGACCACACGGAGCGGTCAGGAGTCTGATAGCAATAAATACAAAACAAGCAACCAACCAGTTAAAAAAAAATCAATATCTCAGCAGCGTGTTTGAATAGGAAGGTGTGTGAGCACATACCTTTACAGTACCCAGCACCCCCTGGTTTCTGCTGGTAAATCACATTCACACCATATTCTAAATGTTTTAAAAGCACAGACATGTTTATCTCTAAATATTTCCTCATTAGCAAAACAAAAAAAAGAGTGAAACATGAACTACACATAAAGTAAAAATGCACAGGCAGCTGGCAAACTATATTTGCAAAATCTGTATGCACTATTTGCAAACACACACAGAGACACTGACATACCTGCTGAGTCCAACCCAGTAAACCCAGTCGGAGAACGCTATTCCCACTCTCTCCCTGTGTTGCTTCTCACTTCTTCTACAAAACCCGAGGTCCTCACTGCGCCGACTCCGATTGCTGTTCACCTGTTCAACTTCAACTCTTTAGCTCTGTTTCTCCCCCTCGGTGTTCAACTCTCTCTGTTTTCCTGTCTTGCTGTCTGAAGCTTTTGGTCACACGTAAGGTTTGCGAAGCTTGCTCCAGTGGTGGCTGCTACCACCACTGACTTGTTGTACTTTAATTGTAGTTGCTAGGCGATAAGCTTCTCCAATTCGGCACACAGTGTGAAGGGGAGGACGGAAGGGAGGGGGGGGAGTGAGAGAATAGGTGGTGGTGGTTGGGGGGGTAAATGCTCATGACACAGCGTAGCCTAAAGAGAAGGATGGACGATTTGAAGGACGGGAGGTAGTTGAGAGATATGCACAAGGAGAGGAGATCTCACATAGCAGGTGCACTTCCTTGTTTTCTTTTAGCGGCCACTGAGTGCAACCTGGAGCAGCAGCGCACTCAGAGGATTTGCTGTAAATACTCTACATGGACAACGGATTTTAGAGAATTCCTGTGTGCACATTTCCTCACCCTTTTTTTTTCTGTTTTATTAAGACATTGTTCTTTTCATACAGCACTGCATTATGTTTGAAAGGACAACTGAGAGCTCAGGTCGACAGCAATTAGTTTGTTATCTGTCTGAGTACTTTACCCCAACCCAACCTAAATCTTGCTTTTGAAGTACACAGGTTTCTAAAGCTGATAAACTATTTAAATCAATTGTTTTTCTGTTTGCAATATGTTATCTAGCCTATCTCTATCACAGCGTGGTGCCTGTCTTTTAATCTATCTATCTATCTATTGGGGGTGCAACAATACTCGTATCGGTATTGAACCGTTCGATACAGTGCTTTCGGTTCGGTACGCATATGTATCGAACAATACAAAATTTTAAATTTATTTTATCAACTTTTCTTCTGACGATGCTGTCTGTGTTGAGCGCTCAGTGGATCTGCGTTCCACTACTCCGCCTAGGCTGCACTGTCGAGCACAGATCCACTGAGCGCAGTGTGCTCTTGTGTGGGGGGGAGGGCAAGCTAGCGAGACAGAATCTAAGCTCGTTGCAACATGGCAACTGCCTCAACGCTACCCAAAATTGAGCCTCACCCACCCTCATTCAGATGTGGCGTTTGGAACTATTTTGGTTTTCATGT